GGCGTGCAGCAGCAGCTCCACCAGGTACAGGCAGCGCCAAGTCGCCACCTCCTTGTTGTCGGCCTCGGGCGGCGCCTTCAGCGCGTCCACGGACACCGGGTGGAAGGGGTAGTCGGCGAGGCTGAATACGTCGGGGTGTTTTAACATATTACTTATCAAACTCATCTGACCTTCGAGGTTGGTCCATCTCCGGCACAGGTATTCTACTGGGAATACATTGGAGGGATAACCTGCACTCTGCAGACCCGAGCGCAAGATCGAGAACAAGAGACTCAAGCCCTGTCTGTCAGGAACGACGAATTCCGGTTGGTCGAGTTGCAAAATGACTTCTTTCCAGTTTAAATTAGAAGCGAGGTCTTTGAGCGCGAGCACGAAGACGTCAGCGTCCCAGCTGTCGGCGCGCGGCGCGGCCGAGGCGCAGTCGCGCTGGCCGTCGCGGTTCCTCCAGAAGTTGCCCGGCGTCTGCACCTGCGGCGCGTCGGCGGCCGCGGCGTGGTAGCGCACCATCGTGCAGATGATCCGAGCGACGTCCGTGGCGGTGGGCTCCCGCCCGCCGAAGTTCAGCATGTTGTTCTTGCAGTCCTCAAGGGTCACGGTAAAACTGTAACCGATCTCCTTGATGACCTCGGAGAGCGGAGCGTCGCGCAGGGCGGCAGCCATGGCCTCGGCCGAGCTCATCGTCATCAAGGGACTTCGGGTGTCTTCCGGATACAACAACGGTGTCAATACGAGTGGCACTTTTTCTCTGGGAAATTCAACCTGTAAATGTTTTACAAACGATTCTTTTGAAACAGGATCGAGATGGAGGTCGTCATAAGCTAGGCTTGTAAGTCGATTTTGCAAAACTTTACGGCTGTTTTCCAGGTCGTCTGCACGCTCAACCATGCTCTGAAAGTAATAAAAAGGCCATATAAAATGTGCTTTGAAGTCACATCGACGTTTTTCCTTTATTAAATTCATGAAAGGTTGCTTTATAATTTAATTAAGAATAATTTCGGAACCAAATACTTTAACTTTTTATTAGTTTTTTTTTTTTAGTGCTGTCGAAGTTAATATGTGAATATAAATTATGTATAATAAATTGGTTAAGACTATGTATAGATAATTAGAACGACATTAGGAATTTACCCAAATATAAAAATTTTAATCATCTAGTCATCAGCGACAGAGTGGGTTGTCACCTCATAGTAGGGAAGGTGACAAAGCTCAGTTGCTGCCACTTGTTTTCAGGTATTATGGTGATGGCCCGCACAAAATCAAAATTTCTCTTCATTCCTAAGACCCCACCAAAATAACAATATATAGAGGGGGAATAGTTGCCACTTGACTTAAAGCATTTTTCACATAATCTCATTAATGCTATCTATTGTTACATCCTCAAAACCACATGTCAATAAAATTAATTGTATTTAGAATATTTACCGACAGGTGTCATAAAACATTATTATAATGTTTACATTTCATTTTGTAAAATTGGTTAGTTAATTTTATAACAAAAGCTTATTACAATTTTGTAAAATGTTTTATTACATGTCAATACACAAACACCAGGTGGCATACTGAACTTGACAACTGATATAGTACCTTTCAGAAAAAGTACTGTAGAAATATGTATGTTCACTATGCCTAGTCTATATATTTCTTATGTCTTTGGTTTTAGTCCTCAACAATGCTAAGTGGATGCATGGGTTCAAAATAGATTGATATCAAGTGGTACCTTGTGCACTTGTGTTGGAGTTTGATGACCGAGGGTTGGCCTGGCCGGGGCGAGGCCAGGGCGAGGGCGAAGGCGGTGGGCGCCCCGCCCACACAGCTACCAACAACTATCTCATCAAACCATCTGTTAATGGGAAAATTTTATTTATGTTACAGAATTTTTCTGACCTAAAATCGTTATTTCCTAAAAGTGTTATTTCTACAAATTTTTATTACATTTAGTTTGATGATTTTGCAAATTAAGTAATACTTTCATTGAAATGTAATTGTTGAAGGAAAAACATTTTAGAGTGGCCAACTGGAGCGCCACCACATGCACACAGACAGGCGAGACATGGCGACATTCCCACATCTCATCCCAAGTGTTTGTGTCTGAGGGCACATGTTGAACATGTTAACCTCCGACCCTGTTCGGATAAGGAAACAAAGGGAGAGTGCAGCGTAATATTAAGGTTTCAAAAGAAAAAATCTTTTTCTTTACACCTCTGCCATATTTATTAAAGATAGGCCACACATAAGCTTTAAAGCTATAACTCATGTCAACAGGCAGCATTTATTTTACTATTATAGCCATGTCAGGTGACTATTTGCTCTCTAGAATTTTTACTTTCTCTCTTTCAGTACAAGGATTTGCACCGAATTATTAATTACTGTAATAATTAAGTACTGAACAATCTTAACGACTATTGATAAATGTATTGTGGGTAGCGTGACATTTTTAAGTAAATAAATCAGTGATATTCCCTTTTAAGTTATAGTTAAAACTACTTTGACACCATGAAATCTATCAAGCCGTCATACTATACCTTTCAGGCGTCGCTAAAATATTCCCAAAACAACGAATCACTGAAGACATTAATGGCATACAAAGGCACACGCGGCAGCACAATAGTTCAAAGTTACACTAATGTCTATAGGTACAAATCAGCCCATATGTGACAAACACAAGTCATGATAGTACCTCATAATATGCCACGAATTAAACGAACATTATATGCATCCTGCACGAAACGTTACTTTGCACGATTTTTCTACTCGGTGTAGGTAACAGTTATGATTGTCTAAGAACACTTCACAGAGCCACTGAATAATTAACATTATTATTTACATGTTTTACAACAAAATAAAATTTGACTCCACGACTAAACAAATAAAAAATAATACAATGAAATAAAAAGTAAGCAGTACACCGTTGCGAACTAGACAGACGCCATTACATTACACAAAATGCAAATGACAAAATGTGGCTGACACCAGTATTGCCAATCAAAATTTTTACCCGGCCGTTTACTTCGTGTATTGTCCTACAAGATTCTTTTGGCAGCCGGCAAATTTTATGAAATGAGAAATTAGATTTAATGTCAGGGTAATAGTGACATAGCTGGTCAGTTCACTTCGCGTCATTACTTTACGCACTTTGTGTGGCTTTTTTATGTTATTCCATGAAATAAAGTATTGAAAGTGTTTAAAAGTAGTGCAAGAGAGTTTTTTTTTTTAAATGAGAGATATTTTTCATAGCTGAGAAGAAGTAGGGGATCCAGTAATTACATTTGAAAATGTGAATCGTCTTGTGTCTGTTGCAATCAGAATTTGTTACCATTTGTTAATCAAGAATTTCCTTAACTCTCAAGGCGACGCATATTTTTAGATTTGTAATTTAAAAAAATTATTATATACTAATTGACTTAAAATTGCAATGACCGGCCCTTTATTGTAACGTGTTTTGTGCACCTGGAAGTACGGCCTCTTGACATAAATTTCATATTTACTTACGTAATACTCAGTAATGTATCAAAAACGAATTTTCTGATAATTTTAAAACGCACAGTCAAACCATACCACATAGTTGTACTTTGCGTTGATTGTACACAAGAATCATTAAGATTTCTATTATTCTATAGATGAGCGCTAAGTAAGACTATTTCTATTATGTTAAGACTATTTCTTCCCTAACTGTCTCAAGCATGCTGCATTGCTAAAAGTTTGCTACAAAGATTCTTTAACTATTGAGCCTTCTAACCTACAAACGAAGTCTGGGGCATTTCCTAGTTACATTGTAAGGTACAAGTACTTCCTTTACAATTTGCGTTTTCGTTTTCAAAAGGGAAGAATTTCCCTTTTATGCCGGACATATTACCTTGCTGGTAACTCTAAATGCTCAGAGACGCCATCCTGTCAATGTCAACAAGGTGCCACAAGAGCCTTGTGGCACTATAAAAAATCCGTGTTTGTATGGGAAAAATCATCGATGTACCGTAGCATAAGTAAAAAAAAAACTTTTCAATGTTAGCTAACTGTCGCTATTTTAACGTTTTTAATATAAATAAGAGGTATCCTAAAATATCCCAGCCGTTTCAGATATTACCCGGGACAAGCGTGGCTTGCGGACAGACAGACACGCAGACAAAAAAAATGCGATTTTCGTTATCAGAGACCCAAATACATCATCTTCCCGAAATCTGGATATCTATACTATTATAATAAAGCGTAAACACACACTTCCTTGTTGCCTAAGATGGAGGCATATTTTTGAATAATTATTTTTTTTTTAATAAACAGCCTGTCTACGTATCATTCGCATCCAAATTCACGAATATCAACGGACATCCTATTGGCCGGCGCGATGACGTTTTTTCAACAGTTATAACATGTTGTTTAAACTTTCTTAAAAAAAAAATTGTAAAAATCACAATACACGGAAGTGAGCTATCATTTATATACAGTTTTATTTCAATCCAAACACAGCCCTAAACTTGCGTCGCGCTTTATATTTATATATTTAACGCTATATAATTTAACGCCATTAAACATAGGGGTAAATATTTTGGGTAAAAATCTTAATGTGAGAAAGAGGCCATAAGTTGCTACCAACATCAAGGAAGCAAAGTTGTCATCGTCCTTTTGACATTTGTAATTGATAATTTGGCAAATATGAACAATAAAATGAAATTTTTATAATTCTATGTGGATGAGGTCGCTCGGGAACAGCTAGTCACAGATAAAACAGTACTATATTTGTATTACACACAATGAAAAATCTTATCAAACAGTACAAAGATTTATTCGATAAACGATTACAAAAGTGACACTGATCAATTAATGACCAATAAGAGTAGGCAGGTTGTAGGTTGCTGTCTACAGACGAGCTTGGATCCAGCTGGCGAAGGAAGTGACACGAGCGAAGCCCGCAGGCAGGCCCACCTGGCAGCCGCGGCTCGACCCGAACGACACCACACCGATCTGCACAGTGAGGCTAACATTATATCTACTCGTACATGACAGATTCCTACGTTTCCTGCTCACAACTGGGTAGTCGAAGTGAAAGAAAGCGAGCTCGATGTCTACCCCGCGGGAAAGACATAAGTAATATTTATGTCATGTGATAGTGATTACGATATACAGAGTTCTTCCACCATCTTCGTGTATTAGTACCTTGTGAACCTGCGAGTAGCAGGAGAATCAATCCAAGATCCAGGATACGCTACATATACTAATTGGACACCGACAGTACGGTAAAGTGTATGTATAGGAGCATACCAGGAGACGTCGTCCGGCGTCGTTGACAGTGAGCGGGCCGCCGGAGTCCCCGCTGCAGGTGCTGCTGCCCGCCCCGCTGGTGCAGAGCGTGGAGGCGATCACCGTGCCGGATCCGTACGTGCGCTGGCACGCCGCGTTTGTGATCACCTGCAGCGACGCGTGGCTAAGCACCTGGCCTTGTGTGATCCCCGCGGCTGGGAAATACGACGGTTGTCAAACATCATTTTTTTTCTGTTATTACTTTGCTACCGTATTGCTAGTAACGTATAACTAGTAATTAGTTTAAAAAAGTCAATACCGCTCAATGATACTTACAGTCACTCGTCTTCCCAAAGCCGGCGGCCTGCGCGAACGTGCCCACGAAATTATTGTTGATTTGAGACGCCGCGGGCAAAGACACTGGTGCAATGTGGTCTGACGATAGAGAAGAATTATTGAAATAAGATCGTAAAACATAAGACCATGGATCGTCTACTGATGTGAATATGTGAAAACTACCTGCGTTGCGACAGATTATCATTTCATAAATCAAATAGAATAGCTAATACAGTAGTAAATGAACCCTTGGCAAAATGTGATTTGATACACGCGTATTTTGTTGCATTAAAAAATTCACAATGGAGATTATTATTGTCTATAAAGCTTATGAAAATAAATTGTAAAATTGACTTACTATTAAAGTCGACTCTGTTAATCACGATGATGGCTACATCGTTGTGCAAGGTGGCAGGCCGGTAGCTCTCGTGGGTTCGAACGTTACTAGTAGCGACCCTCGTGCCGCCGGAGAACAATCTGGTGGAGCCCAGTACGACTGTGAACTGCCTAGCTTGGTTGCGGCCGTCGAACCAACAATGCGCCGCGGTCACCAATCGGGTGTTGGACAGTAACGATGATCCACAAACCGATGTGCCGCCGGACGATAAAGCTATGAGTAGACCACCCTGTACAAAGTTTGTTAATCGCTATATTAATATTGAACTGTTTGTAACTACGAGTACTTAACTAGATTGTCATCATCATAATTTCTCATTTTTTATAAAATCGTCAATAACCTAATAAGAAAATTGTGCTGAAGATCACCTGATACACCTGATACGTTTATTTAACTGTCAAGTAGTGCTAATTTCGCTTTGATACTCGGTAGACACAACTCACAAGATGCGGGTACGCGCCGAGCGTGGCCGGCGAGCCGCCGACAATTCTGCCGCCGTCGAAGTCTAACGCGGTCTCTGTTCGTCTGATTGCCTCGGCTAAAGGAATGCCAATGCTGCGGTGATAATCTACTTGTATAGATTCTTCAGCCACTACTGCAGCAAGCAGACAAAGTAATATTAAGAACTTCATGGTTACCGGCAAACTAGCTTTCATACAGTCCTCGATCACTTTTTATGGAAACTCAATATCTAATCATATTTATATCCAGGATGTTATGAAATCGGTTACCAATTTATCTAGATGTCGTTAGGTAATCCATCCTTCAAAGTAATTAGGTCAAAGATAAATTGTGTAATTAACGACCTACAGAATATTTCACCTCGTGATATACATATAAATATACTTGAACATACATTGTTTTTGACTATAAAAGATTAACATATTTTTTTTTACTCTAGGAGGTGGCAATGAGTCTAGTCTCTAGAGTCGAGTCTAGTCTAATCTCTTTTTGAAAAACTATGATATGTATATACTATTCACTTACTTTTACCATGTCACACATCAGTGCGAACGACAGCACAGCAACATTTGCAAAACTTGTATCATGTTAAGTTGAGATTCGAGTGCGCAGTGAGAACGCGAGCGTGAAGGCGACATTTGTTTGGATGCATTCATATTGTACTGCCAGTTGTTTCTAAGAGAAGGAACTGCCTGTGTACGGTATTACCAATTTGTTAAATAACTCGCAATGCAAACCCAACATGAGGGGCATACTCTTGTGTACTCATACACGCTGTATCGAACTAGAAAGTTTGTCAAAGGCAGCCGCTCTGACCTGCGGTAGATAACTAGTAGGTAAGTACTCGTAAAATAAGAAATAAAAAATAGCCTTTATTTCAGTTCTGCATCCAAGTTACAAAAAGTAAAGATAATTAAATTAAAAGTTTACCAGACTACAGTTTTAAATATAAAATAGAAAATTAAAAGTTAAATAAAGTTAAACATAAATTAATACTACTAATATTTGTTTTTTTGCTGAATTCCTGCAGATCTATTTGCCTTTCGGCAAAGGCCTCCTCCAAACTTTTCCACTCATGCCTTTCTCGCGCTAATCTGGCCCACGTCACTCCTGCCACACGTTTGATGTCATCAACCCATCTTTTAAGCGGTCTACCTCTTTTTCTTATTCCGTCCCTGGGATACCACTGAGTTAGGATTTTATCCTATTTGTCTGGTCCTTTTACTGTGTGTCCTGCCCATCCCCATTTGAGCCTCCTAATCTTGTGTGCTATGTCTGTCATCTTTTTTCTGATGGTGCGGTTCTTTATTATATCTGACTTTTTTTATATGCAGCATACTCTTTTCCATTGCATGCTGGCATGTTGTTAATTTATTTGTTAATTTTGGGTTAGAGGTCAATTTCTTTGCGCATAGAATCATTTTGTGTCATTAACTGACCCAGGTAAATGTATTCGTCAGTGTATTCAATTTCGCTATTCTCTAATTTTATTGAATTTTCCATCCCATTTGTCATTATTTTAGTCTTCTAAGGATTTAACATTAGGCCAACTTTTTCACTTTCAGTTCCTAGCTCATTTAACATTTTAGAGTTTTTTGACGTCTCAGAAAACAGAACTACTTTTATCGTCTGCGAACCGTAAATGCGTCAAAGGAACGCCGTTCACATTTATTCCGAGGGTACTTCAATTGAGACATCTAAAGACAGATTCTAGGACCGCTGAAAACAATTTTGGAGATAAGGGATCTCCTTGTCTGACACCTTTTCCCACTCGGAATGTTTCGCCTTTCTATTCAAAGAATCTAAACAAAGAATCAAATGCTTTACTGTAGTCGACGAAGGCTATGTAGTATGTGTGTTGGTATTCATTGTACTTTTCTAAGACTTGACGAAGTAGTCGCATATGATGAATAATATATTGTGACTATGTTGTGTTTTCAAATGTACGCAATGTTCTTAATACAGCAATCAGCTGATACTTTTTAAAAGCCATTTTATATTTTTAGGAATATCATTGTTTTAAGGCGCTTGTTTTATTTATCTTTTAAAATGTTTCAAAATAGTTTAATACTTGTAAATTATAAATTAGTCTTTATTTTTAAAAACCACTAAATAGATTTCAAAAAGCTATTTTTATAAATTGGACGCCGTAGAGTGATCAATCTGCCACAAGTATTTTTTAACGCAGTGTCAGTTTGAGGTCCTCCGACAGTCAGAATAGGTATTAATAAATAAATAGTGTAACAATAGAAAAATACAAATGATATTAGACATATTGTGCGGTGTTAAAACCGCACAGTATATGTTTTTCCTAACTAATAAACACTTTCTAAAATGATAACGCACGCGAGAATCGTACATAAACAGTTGACATAGAATCATCACAGACGGCGTTCGCTTCTGCTCACCTCGCCACAAGCGCACATCGGGTCAGTTTGCCGTCCGCGTGCGCTCGTCATCATTTCACGTTAAATTACATTCACATGTGCTCATAATTCGCTATACTCGAATGAGTTCAACTTATTGAGTGCACGTCGGAACACCATAACAGGTGCGTGTGCTTACGACACCGTACGTATATATGCTTGTGTAGAAGAGACATTTTTGTTCGTAGCGAGTTTGTGTTTATGTGCCGCCAGGCGTTTGTTCAAACCGGTTAAACTGAACTTTAGATTTGAATTTCTTTGTTCGACAAGAACACTTACATATCTTACTTCTTACTGGTTAAGATAAACGGATGGATGTTTATTAGAAGGTATATCGGAACGGCCCAACGGATCTCGATTAAATGATTGGGTACGTTACGTAGGCTATCTAACAGTTCTTTTTTACATTCCGAGCGGACGAAGTGGAGGGCAAAAGCAAGTAACATGATATGTTTGATATTGTAGCGACAGCGCAGAGTGACATGGGAACCAGCTCTCTGCGATTCATCGAATTATTTGTTTCGAGTCTATCTTACTAATAAAATAATAGGCTTCAAGAAAACTAGTTGTCGAGGGTAATAGGGAAGGTGTAAATATTGAAATTAATCACGAGTCCGATTTTAAAATTATGTATTATTAAATTAAACAGTTGGAATTATCAATATCTAATAGTCTGTTATACTACATATACATATACATATACATATACATATACATATACATATACATATACATATACATATACATATACATATACATATACATATACATATACATAGAATAGTTCCTTTGTAAAGACACATGCATAATACTAAATCATTTAAAGTTATAGAACAGTTAGGTAAACGAGTAAACAATTTTGTATATAAATTGAAATGGTATTGCTTAATGTACAATTTCTACAACTAACAATAATTAGGCATAAAAAATATATAGTCTCTATGAATACTATCTAAAAGAGACAAGATATCGGTTATTGCTATAGCATACTCGTATATTACAAAGTGCGTCGTCGTTACTTTACAATAATATTGTTTTCAATTCCAATTACATAGATAATAATGTTGTCGTTATAACAATGGGGTGTCGAGCGTAATTTTAAACTTAAAAAACTTAAGACAAATTCACTCCTAACTTAGTTTGGCTCCAAGCCCCTCAGTTCAGTGGGTAGTGTAGTATACTGATCTAATGACGATGAAAGATAAAGTATTACATACTTACAAAGCAAATTGATTTTTGAATTAAGAGAGGCATGGGGCGCAGCGCCGCACAATACACACACGCACATACTAGTACTATAGATGTGCGTTCAAACAATAAAATTACAAATGTACAGTTACTTCCGTTCGAGGTTTACTGCTAACAGGTAGCCTTATGGTAGAGGTAGAACACCGCCAACGAATGTGACTGTACCCGCAGCCAAACGCAGCAGCAATGTACGCGCAGCAAATGAAATGCTTCCAATCCAGTGTTGCCTATCGCTACTTACGAATTATGTAAATAACATATACTTAAGGTAGTTAACACATACAATAAAAGGCAAAACTTACAGCTACGATACTGTAAATGATATGAATTATTATTGCAACATTTACAGAAACATTGTGTTCGTCACAAACGAACGACGATCGAACGATCTATCGACGTAACTATTCGGTCTAATCATTACTTACTAGTAAAATTAAATAAAACATGTAATTTCGTAACATTTTTATGTAAATCATACTGTCAAAGCATAAACAAAAAGAAAGCCTTTAATATTTACCAACTAGTATTAGTTACGGTTGAAGTCCGAAAAGTGAATTGGTTATAGTATCGACTTGTACTCGTATATACGAGTACGAGTATTAGGTTCATTTACTGCCACAACCACTCGCTTTGTTTATCGCAATATTCATAAAACCATTTTCAAATATTTTGTACACGTGCGCGTGTTTTGATATATTTTGCAGACTGATGAAACATTTTATACGTACGTGTCATGTCGGTGACGTTGTGGATTCCGCGTTCGAAGTAAAATTGCCTAGTACTTTGTATAAAATGCTAAAGTCCTCGTCTATCTTCAAAATAAATAAAAAGCTACGGTTAACCTACATTGCATAACTATTAAGTGGAATACGAGTATGTTTTGCTACAACATTTATCTAATGTCATCGTTTGTGTGACACGACTAGCGGCCAGCAAACCCGCCATACCTCTGCAAAAGTGGGCAAGAAAAACGGTTGTGCCGGCTTCGGCATATCAGCGGCGGACTCGACAACTGGACCGAAGCCGACACAAAATGTAGCAACAGAGAGGCGGTTTTAGTCGTCGTTGTCCATCCCGACGAGCTCGGCCTGTAGCCGGCCTTTGGCACGGCAGCACGTCAGGCACAGGATCCTGAGCGCCAGTCTGAACTGCGGGCTGAACGTTATCAATATAACGATTTTCCAAAACGAGTTGAGAATCCCCAACCAGACCACACCAAAATGCAACATGGGCACTTTAACCACCGGAGCTGTAAAGTACTCGTAAATCTGAAGGCCAAAGTAGGGGATCCAGGAGAGCCAGAAGGTGACGACCAGCAGGAAGCTCATGCAGTGGCTGGGGTTGGCGAGGTTCTCCGCCAGCGCTGTCGCGTACTCTTTGTCGTGGATGGGCGCGCCGCTGTTAAGCTTGCGCCGCATTGAGAAGATGTAGAAGTAGTTGTACACGATGGAGATGAGGCTGGGCCCCAGCACGAGGATGCCCAGCGTCGCGGTGTACGCGTACGTCGACGCCCAATCCAGCATGCAGATGAAGGTGCGCGCGTCGTAGTTGGCCTCCTTCTTGTAGCCGAGCAGCGGCGGGCAGCACAGCATGGCGGCCGAGATCCACGTGAACACCATCCAGCATTGGCTGCGCGTGCGCGTTTGTACCTGCCGCAAAGGGTGTGTGAGGCCTGCATCGGGGGCGAGAGGGGGAGGGGGGAGGTTGGTGTTCCCGCAGGACTAATACCTCGTGCAAACTATGCTCTACCTCTATACGATATCGTCTGTTTTTTGTCACTTTAATTCGTTTCGCCAATTGTCAAATTTTAATAGTTTCCAAAGTGAACCGATTTTATAATTTTGATTTGTAAACACACGATTAGAAGCATGCGAAGGTACTTTAGGAATGTACATTCTAATGATAGTAGTTAATTATTGTAATTAAGTACATTTGTTTGTATACTTATAGGTATACAGGTAATGCAAACGCCTATCTGATTCATGCGATGCATGTTATGTACAACGTGAAAAAACTATCAGAAACTTATTAGTTACGATGGTTAAATAACATTCATATTATAGAGATTAAGTTGACAAAAGAAACTATATCTCTTCAACAACGTTAGACATCTAATGTTATAGAATAATATTCATGTACCATAATGTGTAAGATTCCAAACGCTACAAGCAAAAGGAATGCTCAATAGAAAAACATTAATGGTTAGGAAGACCCATGAAAAATTAATTTATATTTCTTTAAAGTAACAATCACAAGAGTAAAGACAACACGCCGCGGCGGCGGCAGCGGCGGCGGCGGCAGCGGTGGCCGGGCGCGATGCCGGCTGCTTGTCGAATTATCGGCGACCACTATATGTTTTCTACAGAATGTAATGATTTTGCTCAACAAATATTCCACTATATGTTACAATGGTGTATTTGTTTGCTTTAGAACTATAAGTTTTGTGTCGCCGCTGCTCAGTGTATCATTAACTAAAAATATGTGTTTGGATTTACATTAGGTTGGCTTTCGAAGTATGTTTAGAAAGTTGATATGTTGTTGTAATTTCCAGAAAAGAATCAAAATGTCCCGCATGCGATGTTATTATTGCGTCATCGCCAATTCCGCAATCATTATTTTACCTTTCTTATTACATTGAATGGCTGAGTAACATGTCTTAAATAGGCAAAGTTCGTTACGTCCTGAGTCATACACGAGCGGAGGCGACATAAAACATTTGTGTGCGTTCACACCTGGCCTATTAGCCACATCTGAACGCGTCTTCAGGCTAGGCACACACAATCCCGCCTGTTTAGTTTACTGTACTAAAAATGTTGCTTACGGTGAAGCGAGAATGACATATCGCTGTTAAGAATACAAATATCGTTTTCGCTGAATCGGCGGCGCGTCGCGGCGGTACCGCGCCGGGTGGACTGGGAGTGGAGCAATGCGCGAAAAACCTTAAAACCCAGATTGTGAGTGCTCAGTCTTAACACCTCTAATGTACTGAGTATTCTGGTTCTCAATGATATGTGTCTGGATGGAATGGCGTTGTTGATAATCTAGGCCTCTAATGTAATCGACAGAAACGTATTAACCTCTTAAGAACCAGATAACTGCGGCAGTCGAGGAGACGCAGGGAAGGCCATATTCTAAGTAAAAATGTATAAAAAAGATAGCTACCGTCAAACTAACCGTCTCATATCGGAGCGGTTTCCGGACCGCTAGGTAGCGGTCCACAGATATCCACATGAAGGTGTAGACGGAGACGGACCAGAGCGTGACCTCGAGGTAGCCGGCCAACCGACACACAAGCCCGCCGAACACCCAGCGGCCCGCGGCGGCCGCGTGCACCGACAGCGGCACCACCAGCAGCCCGCACAGCAGGTCCGCCACCGCCAGCGACAGCAGGTAGTAGTTGATCACCTCGTGCGCCAGCCCTGCGCCCCCGCTCATTTTTACAACCATTTACTTGCACAACACCAAACTGTTAACACCAATAGTCATTGAGATAAACTCTCATAGATCTTTTGTTAATTGTTGTACGACTACGTCTTGTATTTTATTTTATTTGGTATTCATACTTTTTTGTCTATACACTTATAGTTATGCATTCTATTCTGTTTATATATGTAAAAGGTGTGATGCCTATAAACCACTTACATGGTTTGGCTGGAAGCTGGAATATGTTATTTAACTATATTGTAACATTTTGGAAATAAAGATTTAAAAACGAAAAAAAACTTCATATCCGTAAAAAACATTTACTCCCTTTAATATTATCTACTCTGTTATCTGTGTTTATCTATTTAATATGGCTAACCTTTGAAGTTGAGGAAGGCAGCTATGATGAGCAAGTTGGAGATGACGATGGCGATGCCCACGACGGCGATGACGGCGGCCTGCGTCAGCGACTCCAGCGAAGCTAGCGGTGAGTCCGCCACGCTCACGTCAGCGTTCGCGGCGCCCGCGCCCGCGCCGCCCAGCCGCGCCGGCATCGTCGCGCGGCCCGCTCCGCCGAGATTTCCTTCACTCTTGACAGAATTTAATATTTAAAGTAATGCTAAATTTGTTCATTGAAAACTATACCAGAATCGGCGAAGTCTTTTCTGATATTAGCCGCACAAATATACTACTGAAATTCACAACAATCAATAAGTTTGCGGCCTTCACCCCCCGACCCGCGGATTAAGAGTGCCCTGACTGTGATATCCTCTGTGTGTTCGATATCACGCCAATGCTAAACGATACGTATTTAACAACTTACCTGTAAATGCCTCACTGGCCCTTTACTACGACCACACTGGCGCCTCACTGGCAATTCCTTGGCACCTCACTGGCACCTCACTGGCACCTTAGGGCGATGCCCATTGATTCTCTTCAAGGAAAAATAATAAAATAATCGCGACCGGTTTTACGACCTAGTTTTGTACTGCCTTAATCTTTACATACAATTAAGTATAATTGCTTAACTTCGCTTATTTAAATATCACTTGCATCGCTCATAGCAATATTCCAGATTTGATTCACCAGCGACACAAAAATGGGACGCCCTCTCTCCGCCCCCGCCCCGCTCTATGTTTATGTTACCTATGGCAAATAACGTCCGCCGCTGCTATTTTGAACTTGCACAAAACCGATTTTTTTTTATAATAACTACATTCTACTTACAACATTATCATGTCAAAAAAGCCGTCTTTTATGTATAGGCTGAATATAGTTAAATTCTTTCTTGGTTACTACAATGCACAGTACGCATTCGGTGTGCGGTAAAAGAGGACGACTATTAGAACGGCGAGCCGCGTGCAGAGCTCGGCGCAGCGTTGGAGACGCGCCTGCGCGGCGGCGGCGGCAGAGGCGGCGGCAGCGGCGGCGACGGCGGGTTTAGCAGTCAAGGGCAAGGGCAGCCGCCGAGCTCGGAACTCGCAACCCCGCGCCGCCCGCCACCAGCCGCGGGCCGCCCGCTGCCCGAATACTAGCCAAAGCAATCGATACCGTATACTGAAATCGACGACATGCGCACTAAGAACAACTATTGGCCGGGGTTGCTAACAAAATAGTAATTAAGTAGAACCAGAGGTAAATAAATTGACAGGTTGAGGAGAAACAGGAGGGGGCTGCCACTAACCGCATAAACTAAAAAACAATACACTAAAACGTAACGAAATAATTCCTTGAAAACAAAATACACTAAAAACAAAACAAAACACACTAAAAAAAAATATTCTCAAAAAAACAGTACACTAAAAATTAACGAAATAATTCCTTGAAAATAGTAAACATACCTTATTGTAACTGTTATGTCTATATTGTACAATTATTATTAATTTGATGTCGGTGTCAGCCAAGGTATACAGTGATATTTCTACGTAAGGGTTTCCACATTTTTACCATGACAATTGACTATTGAAAGTATAGTAACGATTAAGTAATGAATCTACATTGACTGACACCGACTTCAAAGTAATAATAATTGTACAATATAGACATAACAGTTACAATAAGGTAGGTTTACTATTTTCAAGGAATTATTTCGTTACTTTTAGTAGAATGAGCTACAATTCTTTCATACATCATTTTTATGTAGGTCTTATAGTTTAGGCTACGTAAGCCAAGAAAGGAAACTTTGTTACAAGTTGGTATTTTTTTCTGCGACTCGTTATTTGCTATTTATTATATGATATCTCCTAAACTATTGATCGGAATTATATAGTTCCAAGGGGATTTATAATCTACATTAAATTCTCTTGATGATCGACACATTTATTTGGATAAGGGTTCATATCGAACACGAGTAATAGCGTTGAAAGTGAGGTATAGATTTCGAGCGATATTTTAATTAAAAAAGTGGTTATTGTGCGACAACCTTAATAGATAGATATATGCTATCGCGGACTTTTATTTAGAAAATTTAAAGGGCTACAATTCTTCGAAACATGATTTTTATGTAAGTTTTATAATTTAGGCTACGGAAGTAAAGAAAGCAAAAATGACCCTAAATTTCGTCACGCGATTTTGAGGTAAACTATTTAACTACGTCGTAGTCTTTGACTCCAAAAATCAATCAAAAAAATGGGACCCACCTGCAAGCATTACCTTTAGAATAAAAAAAAAGAATTAGTTACAAAATCGGTTCACTAGCGGCGGAGTTATGCCGTAACACATAAAAAAAACATACGGACGAATTGTAGTACCTCCTTCTTTTGGGAAGTCAGAGTTATTAATCGAGTACAGGCAGTTCTCGTACTTACGGCATGTTAGGTTCTCGAAATACGCAACGTAAATCGAAACGACGTAAGTCGAGACATATTTTTCATATAAAATACAAGGGTTCGCTTCTACATGGATTCAAAATAATAAAAAAAACTGCATTTATAACGAAGGATACTTTATTATCAAAAAAAAGTTCTTAAAATAATTATATGCTCTTATGAAATTATGTAGTTAATAAGAAATAACAAATTAACCTTATGGTTTAAAGAAACTATCAATTCTAGTTTGCTTCGCTTCTTTCTTCTTGCTATCATACAGATCTTGGTAACACTGATAGGCTGCACAAACTTTTTTGTTAACGTTAAAACTTCTTTCAAAATTAGGATCATTTTCTTATTGCCTAAGGCTTAGTCACTGCTAAATTAAGGTAGGCTTCGAGTCCCACAGTGGGGACGTATAGTGAGTTGTTGATCTCGAGGCGGAGAGCGCAAGGCGCCCACCCAACACCAACACCTGCCAGACTCCCCATCTCTCCAGGTGTAGTCGTTACTTCATTATTAGTTACATGACACGTATTGTAAAGTAATCATTTTGACAACTAACTCTACATTACAGGATTCCACGTCCTTGGCGCAGTGGTTAGTGTTAGTGCTGGAATTGTATGATCCCTGCCATCACTGATGATGCGTTTTCCTATTTTCATATATAATGTATAAAACATGCAGCTCCGTTCGTTTTCATTAATGCAGTTACATGAAAATTACGAGTAAGATAAATTCAGTAACAGGAATGATTAGGTGCCGCATCATAAATCTGGAAATTGGTCACAATTTTGGCGGGCGCACGGACTAGGCAATGGGCAAATTAAAGCCAATTTGAATGTAATTTTTTTTATTTATAGTTGACAACTTTCAAAAATACACCAATCAAGGAAAATGTTGAGGGTGGGACTATATTACAAAATAATTTTACTAGATAATTCGATTGCTACGATGATCTAATACTGAGCAACGTGGTCACGGGTCGTGGTCTGGGGGGAGTAGAGAGTACCATAGACAGACACCGCTATTCAAATTATTGTCAAGAAAATTGGCGAGGAAGGACCAGGGCTAGGAGAGACGCGACTGGTCTGCGGGCTGCTGGCGCGTGCGGTAGCGGGCCAGG